CAATTTGTTGGTTCCTGTGAATCTGCAAAGGAAATCTAGGATGAAGTGGCTAATCAACTTGAAGGAGGAACAAAGACGAAGAAGATTGGAAGAAGCTAGTGTAATCTTTTAGAGATCTTTTCTCTTTGCATTGCAACGATTTTCTCTCTCTAAGGTTACACATCTTTGTTTTGTATTGACATTCTTATGAATGCAATGAATCATATGACTGGAGTTCTATCCAACTGCTCTTAGATTACTTTATATTATTTGGATTAGAATTGTGATGTAATGCTTCCTCTCTCCATTATATATTAGATTTTAGTATTTCAATTGGTTTTTGGTAAAAAGAGTATGAGGGACCTAAAACTGACAAGCTTGGTAACACAATCGATATCAACAAGTGTTGAAAACCTAATTAAGATATCATATGGAAGACTAGCACCCGATCAGGACACACTCACTAATAAGCATCAAATGCCATTGACTGATGGGCTAACAATCAGCTGATGTTGACACACCTAATGGTTGATCACCTATTATAGTTGTTGAAATTGATCACCTGTTGATCTATAGCTTATGTTCTACAATAGTTTCTTGTCTTATAACGAGTCATATTTTTTTTAATGAAGTTTTTAGAACATTGTATTCATCCCACTCTACCGGGTTATTGCCATATTGTTCACCATGTGGGACCAACAATTGGTATCAATGTAGTTTGAGTTTACCCATTATCAATATTTGTGATGGCTAACACCAAGCATAATGAGATTTTCAAACCACCAAGACTCAACAAGGATAATTATTCCTGTTGCAAAACTAGAATTACCCGTATTATGAAAAATGTCCACAATATTCTCATTGCTTATCCAGATGGTCCTTATGTCCTTGTAAACTGTAATGCACTTTCCCAACAAAATGGCATGAGAAGAATTCAGTGATGAAGATATAACAAGTCCTTGATGAAAATTGTAGATGTTTAAGATACTCATATAGGGTTTCTGAAGATGTAAAGATTTCTCCAACAGAGACTACATGTCCTAACAGATGTGATTCCTGCCTCGCATCCAATATAAATACAAGGGAAAATATATGTTAGGTTCAAAAGTTGTTTGTTTGAAGAGTGAATAATAACATATCTAAAGAATTTCTAAGTCACTGTTTCTGTTTATGATCTGAAGGCAGATCTCAAGTTATCTAAAGGGTGTTTTAGATTCTCTGAAGAATGTTTTCCAACACTTGTGGAATATCAGCAAAAGACTTTGATGACATATGGCATATTTTTAGTCCGTTTTACCTGTCACTTACTATAAATAGTTTCTCATGTATTATTCTAGTTAAAGATTTCTCTCCCCTACACCCACTGCACGAGTGGAGTACTACTTAATTAGTTAACTAGAAAGGAACAATATCTTATGGCACGATCACTATATCTTTTCTTTTTCTTTCTCTCTCCTCTATGGAAAGGAAAGAAAGAGGGGATGATACGTGGCATGGTACACCTAACCGTTTAGTCGACAAGACATGTGTAAATCGACATAGCTCCATGTATATGTTCTTTTAAGCTAGTCTGAGTTGAAATCTGTTTCAAGAGATGACTGTTCATGACCCTTTATCTTCACAAGAAACTGAAGAGGGAAAAAGGGATGTTAAAGAGCTTTTTTGGGCTGTGAGTCTGAACATCCTCACTTATGCCTTATGGCATCACCATCTACCAGGATAAGATACTTTCTAAAGAAGTAACTTCTGGTAGTGCTCAAACTCTTTTGAGCAGGTGCACAAGACCCCAGCCCCGCATGTATCCCTATCTACTTGTGTAACAACTCATTCCACATAGATAAAATCATAGAAAAATAGATTTATGAGCTTCTTATAAGATCAAAGTTAGTTCTATATCATCAATAACTTTTACTGCGATTTTATATGGGCCAACCTTTCTGCCTTTAGATACAGGGCACTACAGACATCCTCTTTGAAACCTCAAATTTATTTTGATGACAGTGATTTCGAGAATCTTTCGGCCATCAGTCAAGTTGTAACAATCCATTCCTACATTGATAGAAAAATAGATTTGTAAGCTCTTTATAAACAAAAAATTATGGAATATCAATAAATTTTATGGTGATTTTAAGGCTATGTTTGGCAAAACTAGCTGATGAAAAAAATAAATGGACAAAAAAGATATCTTGAAAAATTAATCAATTTATAACAACTTAGAATAAAATTAAAACAGATCTCTAATAATATAATATATTAACTTAAACAAACAAGATGATAAAATAAAATTAAAAATATAATATATTAATTAAAAGAATTTCAAATTGATTATTATATATATTACAATATATTTTTATTAACCTGGATATCCAACCCGCTATGCGAGCCGACTAATCCCAGGACAACCACCCGCTTTGCAGATAGCCCGGAGTCACCGTATTTGAACCTCTGTGGCTAGAAGGGGAATTTTTATTTCTCCTTGGATTTGAATCTGGGACCTTCTAGTACTTTTGATCTTTGGAACCAAGCTCAAACCAATCAAGCATCATCCTTATGGTTTATATTATAATATTTGAATTTGTTAAAACAAATTTTAGAAAATATCTATTGTTTATAATTTTAAATAACCATTATATATAATATGAATATATATATATATATATATATATATATATATATATATATAACTTACATATCCTGATTAATTAATATTTTTTGAAAAAATATATTTAATAATCAAATTTAATTTTTTTATTCAAATTATTTCACACATTTTTATTATCTATGAAACAAATTATATTTATGTTTTGATGACTAAGAGGTTGTTTACCAGGGTAAGTGTTTACCAAGTTATATTACCTTACCGGATAAATATGGTAAGGACCAAGAATTTTACTCGGTAAGAACGAGATAAGGACCAAAAGTCTTACCCGGCAAGTGGGGACAACGGCTCGTACCATGGTAAGCGCTTACTGAGTAAATTGTGGCATACGGTAACGTTTTAGTTGACTAAAGTCTTACCCGGTAAGTAAGTGGTAGTGTTAAATTTTACCCGTAAGTTAAAGTATTAAACATAAGATTAAGCATCTGTAAAAGTTAAAACATTAACAAATGGTTTTCATTTGTTTCTAAATTCTAATTTTGTGGTTTCACTAGTTTGTAACAAGTGAAACAAAATTCATCAGTGAGTCAAACAAATTAAAATAGTGCAACAAAGGAAGTCACCATTCACCAATTTCACACAATCACATCTTAGCTAGTTTCATAACTTCATTATTAGGTTTCCAATCAAACAAAATTAATAACTTAAAAAATAAAATAAATAATATAATAGTTAAATTTCATAGAATCACCCTAACTCCCTAAGTAACTAAGTTAAAGAATAAAGTCATAAAGACTTAAATAGTTAAATACTTAAATGTTAAATGAATCCCTAACCTCAAGTCAACACAAGTCAGTGGTCACATTCACAAAGAGAGAGGGGCAGACGGCCGACGGGGCGATTGGCGAAGCCGCGAAGGGCGGAGCCGCAGAGGCCGGAGAGGCGGAGAGCGAGAGTGGGAGCCGGGAGGCAGTCAGGCTTAGGCAGAGAGGCGAGAGCGATAGCGACCGGCGACGAGTGCGAGAGCAATTTCAATTTGACTATTGAGAGTGAACGAGTCCACAGAATGAAGCGAGAGTCGAGATGCAGATGGACTGGTAACTCTAACGGACTAAGGTAGTAGGCTAACGGTAACATTCTTTAGGCCCAAGTAAAAACTGAACCTATATGCATATACATTGAGCTTTTGGATTTTTAATGCCCTTGGACTTTATGTTGCCCTGGGTCGTCGCTCCTTGGGCCTATGCCGAGGGCCGGCCCTGGGTGATTGTATGGTGAAAAACCCACAAAGGATTCCACAAGAATTTTAATGCTTTTATTAAGGAACAACAGTTGATCATTTGTTCTTTGCTTTGTGGATTTGTTTGCAGCAGAATGGAAGAACCAACAACAATAGCAACTAAGCAGCATCAAAGCAACACAGTTCTATGTTGTTGCCAATCAGTAGCTACTTGTCCCTCAAAACCGTACCCAATTAGTTTATAGAAAACATTTGAGTGAAAAGGTTCAAGAACTCTCATCTTTCAGAATCAGTCTTGCACACAGTGGCATTACACAATTAGGGGCTGTTTATGTGCGGCTTAATTGGACTTATTGGTCTATTGACTTATTCGCATAGCTCATTTGGATTGTTTACTTATGGCTTATTCGTACAGAACATGATTTAATCGCACATATAAAAATGATGTGTTGTCCCCATTCAGCCACAAAAATGACACCCCTACCTCTTATTTAAAGCACCACCTTCTTTCTACATGAGACAACTCATCGTCGGCCTCTTTATGATTTTTTGTTTTGATGTTCAAATAATTGATATTAGGAGATAAATCAATCATTTATGTTATTCAAACTGTTAGTTTAGATTAAAAAAATTAAACAAAACACATATTTAATCAGAAAAACAAATTTATCCATATATAGTAAACAGCATTAACAGATTACTCTTGAAATGAGAATAAGGATTCATTTTGCATTTATAAATGTAGAAAGCAGCATTTTTTCCATCATACTCGAATGGCTTTAACTCTTGGTTATCAAATTGGGTGTTTTCAATAGTTTAAAAAATTAAAGGTTATTTACCTGAATATTGACCTAATAAACGCTTACTCTTATACATCAATACTATAATTTATTTTACCAAGTAAAATTGTAGTACAACAAAATAACATCATATGTAACAATTTATCTAGTAAGCATTTACCCACGTAAGAATTGTCAACTTCACTTACCAATTAAGACTTTTTATTTTATCATTGTTCCTTAACAAGTAAGATTTTTAACCCTTGTCATATTCATCCAGTAAAAAAAATTACTTAATAAGCATTTAATAAACAAACCCTACGTTTGATTTTGCAAATATACAATTTCATTGGTCAAAGGGCTGGGAGAAGAAATGTGACCAAAAGTTGTACAAAGCCAAAAATGAGACTGATAAATGTGATTCATTCGTTGGTAAAGATTCAATAGGAACAAAATACACCAAGATTTTTTACTATGTTCATCCAACAACCTTCATAAATCTACCAAAAACCAAATCTAATTCTGTGGATCCATTTTTACGCTTTCTTAGGAGATTTTGTAGTTTTCTCAGACTCGGATGACGATTTCTTCGGCAGCAACACCGGATTGATGTTAGGCAGAACACCCCCACTAGCAATCGTAACACCAGCCAACAATTTTCCTAATTCTTCATCGTTTCTCACAGCCAATTGAACATGCCTAGGGTTAATCCGCGTCTTCTTGTTGTCACGAGCAGCATTTCCAGCCAACTCCAAAACCTAAAATTTCATTTCCAGTAGCACAAAAATCAATCTAAGATGTTCGATTGGTTCAAAAATTAACACACAGTTTTGATGAATATACCTCAGCAGCTAGGTATTCAAGGACAGCAGCTAAGTAGATCGGAGCACCGGAGCCGGTACGCTGAGCATATCGGCCTTTCTTCAAAAACCTAGCGATCCTACCGACAGGAAACTGAAGGCCAGCCTTGATGGACTTGGTGACCGACTTCTTCCTCTCGCCGGCGCCTTTCCTACCTCCGGCACCCTTGCCTGTCTTTCCGGATTCCATTGTTATTGAGATCTGGACTTTGTTTGTTTGAGATTTGAGAGTGTTGTGGATTTGAAATTTAGTGGCCGGGAAATAGGAGTATATATAGTCCATGGGTTGTTTGGTTGATGAATGCCCGTGTTGTTTATCGACGGTGGGAAAGATTGACTCGTTGGCAATCCACCACTTTGTGTTTTAGCCAATGACAACAAGTGATGAAGTGCATGCTGGCAATCCGTGGGTGTGGATTGGTATGTGTTTAAGAGTTATTTAGCGGGAATGTTCTTTTGAGTTAAATAATTTAAAATTGGTTATTTTATATGTACAACCACTCATAAAAACTATATTTTCAGTACATTCTTTGAAAAGAAAATTTTGATGATTTTTTAGTCTAGTAAATTTAAAATGTTTCAAAGTGACCAAAAACCTTGGAAAGTTTTAACATACATAGTAGGGATTCGCAAATCTTCCAAATTCTCTAATTTATACTACCTTATCAAGCAACATGAGGAATCTTTTCATTATTTTATATGTATCGGGAAACATCAATTTTTACTCTAGTATTATTCAACTTTGCCACTATCTAAGTCATCTTCTTTGATTCTTCGGCTTTTGAATTTGGATTTTGAAGATCTGCGAGGGATTAGACTAGTATCTTCATCTTCTTCAGCATCTGATTCTTCAGGTATATACTAGGGAAGTTATTTGTTAGCTATTGAAGGTATCTCTAAGGTTTTGGGGGGAGATTTACATGAGGGTGAGGAAGAGGATATAAATGCAGTTGTGAGAGGTGAAATAGAGGGGATGGCCGAGGATTGAGAAAAAGGGGTTCAGGGTTTATAGGAACTTCAGGTTCAAGGATAGAGGGAAATGAACCTTGAGTTTCAACTAGGCAGGTTGCTTGGGAGCTTTTTCTCCTGAAACCCTAACTTTAAGACTATCTCTAATGGTGATAGATAGTAATCCCAATTCATTATAGGACAAAAGTGAAATATATATATATATATATATATATATATATATATATACTAGGTTTGGACCCGTGTATTACACAGGTTAATGACAAAAATTAAGCGAAACTGATATGTATTTTATAAAGAATTAATAATCGAAGGTAATTTACAAACTTAGACAAAGGTACAAGTCCGATTAAATTATTGATATAAAGATGCTCTTACTTGATAATTAAATGTTACATATACAAAGGACGGCATGTGCTTCGATGATCAGAAAAACTTCTAAATGAAGACGAACAATGTAGATTATGGATGCTCAAAAACCCGATGAACTCGACCAACCCAACCCGAATTTAAAAAAACAAAAACCCAACCCGAGGTAACCCGATGCATGATCGATAAAAAAATGTCATTCATTCTAAACTTTTCCCTTGCCTTTATCTTGCGAGGTATGATGACCTACAAAACAGGTTAGTCCAACAACTGAGCGTTAGACCAAAAAGGTCTAGTGAGTGTATAAATCTCAAACAAACAACATACTTTCCAAATAATCAGTTCAGAATCAAACCTGTTCTGACACATAAACGTATTTATGTCTCTCGCGGTTACACCCCATTACATCTTTCACGCGGTTACACCGTCATTTCATCTCTCTCGTGGTTACACCACCATTACATCTCTCTCGCGGTTATACCGCCATTACATCTCTCTCTCGCTGTTACACCGCCATTTTATCTCTCTCGCGGTTACACCGCCATTACATCTCTCTCGCGGTTACACCGTCATTACATCTAAAAATGATTCAACATATTAGCCGGATTTGAAGTCCGGTCAGCCTTGTCCGGATATGAAATCTGGACAAATACTTAGAATATTAAGGTAAACCGACCACGCCTTGAGCGATTTATAATCCGGATGAAACTGTCCGGATATCAATCCGGTCATCACATTTCTTTGAGCGGTTTATTTTTAATCCGCACACCTCTTGAGCGATTTGTGGTTAATTTGGTCACCTCATGACCGATTTAGGGTTGAGTCCGGACCATAACCATCACATATAATAAATATTATATATATATATACATATTAATACACATGCATATATAATATATATGCATATATATATATATATATATTCAAAAATCTTATTTCAAAACCCGAAACACGAATGTTACAAAACTGGAGGTCAGGACCAGGCCTCTAGGATCGCCTTGATCATAGGCGTATCTGCGATTCAGTGTCGCAATATAAATTATGTTGCGGTCATTTTCGATGACCTGGTGCTTAAGCTGAACAAGCGTCAGCGAGAAAAGGTGGTGCCTTACACCAGGTTTCTTTTGATGGTATTGAAAAAGATCTTAAAAGTCTTTACCCCAAAGAAGGAAACCTTCCAGCTTTCAAGCTTGGATCCAGGATTCCGGATCATAAGTTGAGGGACAGTGATGTGGCAATTTCTTCCATTGTGTCCATCATTACCTCTTCTTCTCAGGTGGTCATGATGAGGGTAACCCCCCCCCCCCCCCCCCGCGTCTAGCCAAGCCACCAAAACCCCTTCTAAACGATCTTCTCAACTAACTCTTGGTTCTCCTCATAGAGCCAAGAAAGCCAAAAAAAGGGACAACCACGTCTCTAGCTGAGGCCTCTTAAAAGGCTTCAGTTATTGAAACTAGCCTTATCCCCGAGGCACTTTCTGTTAACCCTCCCAGCTCTTCAGTGATTTCTCCCATCACTGTCGTATCAGTGGTACCTTCACCAATCA